TTGTTTCAGCATACTTTAGAACTGTTCCCAGAAATAACTTCATTTCTTAAAACTATAGCTCCAAGGAATAACAGAAATCAATACATTTTGTCTGATAGCTTGACTCAAGGTCTAAATTGAGCTAAGGTATTGTTGCACAAGTTATTTAGCCCTTTGAACCTCCTTCTGTATCTGTACAGCGGAAACAGTGATACATCTATTGCAAGATGATTTTAAGAACTGTAAATGCCATACACACGTTCTTGGGTCACAAGGGGGGTTCAATAATAGTGAACTTCCTGATACACAAAGCAGCACAGAAATTTAGAATGTCCGCGGGACGGCCAGTTCCAGTGCATGTAAATCAGTTACCAGACTGATTTTGCTCAAAATGGACAAAAGAATAAAGTAATCGGCAGTAAATTTCATAGGTAAAACCCTAGGTCTAGGAGCTAGGAATCCGGGTTATTCATCAGGCTGGACTTGGCCTCTAGCAACATGTATCAAAATTAAAAACCTAATGTATCAAAATTAGAAATGTGAATAATGAAGCAACTGATTCCTGTAGCATTACTATTATTACTGGGGACACTATTACGCCAAATTGTAAAATGCGAGCAAACTGTGCCCTTGACTTGAACTTCACCGAGATTTAAACAGTTTCTTTCTGTGCACCGGAGTCGCCCGGAAGAAACGTCACAAACACCCCACTTTTACATCAGCAGCGACCGCGACTCCAAGTTCCCCTAATGAGATCAGAGGAGGACGGGACACAGCCTCACCCTCTTGCCAAGGGTTCCACGGCCGTTTCCACAAGCCACACGCTCGCCCGCAGCCCCTGCCTCTTCCCCCTTCCCTCGCCCGCCGTGGGACCGGGCAACAGAGTGAACCGAGGCCACGGCGCCATCACCTGTCTCCGCGCTCCCCGAAAGCGGCTCTTCTCTCCTGAGGTCTTCGGCCACAGTTCCTGGGCAACTGAGAAGCCTGAAACCAGGACGCTGGACTCCACTTCTCCTCTGGACACACAGTGGCAAGCGGGTCAACAGCCCCACGCCGCGCGCCGCCATTGTCAGAGCAGCAGAAGCGCGGAGCCGAAAGGTCGGCGTGCTTCCGCGCATGCACCCTGAGGAGAAAAAGGAACGGGAGCCCTTGAGGGTCAAATGAGGCGAAAGACGTTCGCTTTATAGAAACAGAAGAAGACGTCAAGTCGCGGCCAGAATCAAGACGTTTGAGCTTTCGAATGTGCTTTGCTTCCACTCCCTACAGTTCTCTAAATGAAGAGCCCTGTTGGGCTCCTGCTCTTTCAAATAGCGCCCAGAGAATAGAGCCAGAGAGCAAGGTCATGAGGAAGGAGCACTGAATTGGGAGTCAGGAGTCTAGACACACACGAAAGTTGCCTAGCCTTTATACAAAAAAGAATTTAACGTGGTCTGAATTTAAGCGTTTGTATGTGTCATTCAAAACTCACGGTACTATTTACTTGTGAGGTAAGTGGTGATATTCCCATTTTACAGAGTTTAGCTTACTCGTCACAGTTTATTCCCATTTTCAGAAGAGGAAACAATGAGGCGCACAAGTCAGATCCCCCAAGTCCGACTTCCAGTGCTGTTGCTTTGCCCTCTACAAAAGGTGGGTTTTGAACACAAAAATGTTACCATCCTTATAGGTTTGTATGACTGCACAATGATTTATAGGACTGACTCAGTTTCGCATTTCTCTCCCCGCCACCCCCACCCCCGGGAAAGTATATACAATAAAAAAACTTGTTTTTAAAAAAAGAAATGTAGAGGTCACTGCTGTTCTTAATAAGAGCAGTTTTAATGGAGAAATAAATATGGAAACCCGATTGGAGTAATTTCAAGTGCAAAGGAGAGGAAAGAAATCACACTGGAGGCCAGGCGCAGTGGCTCACGCCTGTAACCCTAGCACTTTGGGAGGCCGAGGTGGGAGGATCACTTGAAGTCAGGAGTTGGAGACCAGCGTGAGCAAGAGCGAGACCTCGTCTCTACTAAAAATAGAAAGAAATTGGCCAAACGATTAAAAATAGAAAAAACTAGCCGGGCATGGTGGCGCATGCCTGTAGTTCCAGCTACTCGGAAGGCTGAGGCAGGAGGATCGCTCCAGCCCAGGAGTTTGAGGTTGCTGTGAGCTAGGCTGACGCCACAGCACTCTAGCCCAGGCAAGAGAGTGAGACTCTGTCTCAAAA